ATAATAGATGAAATTATAACTAAGGTCCACTTGGTCTATTATTGTTGTCCAACAACACTGTAAGATCAAGTTATTTTATATTGTCTGGGTCACTAACTTCTAAAAACCTCTAATATTAACACTGAACAATAGCATGTGCTTAAAGTCCCATTTCAGTAGGACTAGTTATGTGCTTTCCTGAGTTGGCATCTATAACTAGGTGGCTACTGTTTTACTACTAATGTAGTAGTATAATCAAATCAACAGTATTGGCCAGAAGGCATAAAACACTCTCAAGATGCTACGTCATGAAGATAAGGAAGAAATCTTCATGTAGAGTCAAACAGCAATACTATCCATGAACATTTGCCTCACCTTTTTCTGTACTCAATTTTTTCTTTTTAAGAGAGGAAGATTTAAACCACAATAAATAGTTTTCTTTAGAGAAAAAAACAGTAGTAGTGTCACATACTGAGTGCTGTCAATGTCCTTCACTGCAAATAAAATAATGGTTCCTAGAAAAATTCATTTCAGATATATGGATATATTTAAAGAATATAGGTTTAACTTACTCTACATTCTTTGTCCATTCCGGAGGGTTACTCATGGTCATAAACACACAGTTGGTCAAAATAGTGCACATAATAAGCATGCTGAACAATGTACGTTACAGTCAAGGAACATACAACAGTAAATTACAATAGCACATTAATAACACATTTTAATTTCAACCAAATTCTGACACACACAAAAATCCCATTGATTTAAGTGACAATTCCAGATATATTTTTAATACAGTATCAACCCAGCAGTTTTCTCATTAGTAAATTAAACTTTATTAGCACTAAAGTCACTTGTGGTGTAAGCAGAAGCAACTCATTTTTTTAACACTGTCCCTATCCAGTGCTTTGCGCACACTAAAAACAGTAACAAATCATAACAAGATTAAGTAATGAACTCTCCTCATCCCAACAGCTTGTTGACAGTAATAAATAGCAACTTCCGCCCCATCCCACTTGAATCCCCTGGAATCTTCTCTAACAATTCAATAGCTTGAGCGAAAAGACAGGTCTTGCAGGATGCTCAGAAAGTCAGAGAAGTAGGTTCTCTTGGACCAAGGGAGGAAGCAAGTTCCAAAGTTGAGGATTCCTCATTGAGAAGAAGTTACCTGCAGCTCCTTTGTGGTGAAATCAGGAGGCTGTCAGCTTGTGCATCTCCTCTGATCTGAACTGTCATGGTATTACATGAGCAAAAAGATAGTGTCTCTAAGGGACCTAGAACCCTGGATAACTGTAGCAAGACTCACATCTAAAAGAAAAGGTCTCAACAGTCTCACTGAGCACAAATAAAAACGGTATTTAGTTATTGCTGCTACTAGAAGCAGCTGGGGATACAACAACACATCAGGTAGCAAATCTACGTAACAAATGGTGAATAAACTCTATTTGTTTACTCCACCAAATAAGCCAAAATAGCCAATATCTAGTATTCCATTTACTCTCACAATCAAATAAGCATTATCACAGCACTGTCATCCACTTGATGAAGACATTGTACCCTATGTTTCCTCACCAACTCTCCTAGAATTTGATTTTGAACTAGAGGAGGGCAGCAGAATGTAAGCTGAACCCCGACAGAGAAAGAGCACGTCGGGGAAGATGAGCTCCTGTGGAACCCCAACAGAAAGAGAGATCACCCCATTGGGGCAGATGAGCAAATGCCCAATATTATTCTCTGTGACCTCTCAGACAGACAACCATCAGGAGCCAGTAAGAAAGAACTGTCATGGAAGTATGACTTATTCTACCCACACTATAGTTCAATACCATCTCATGGTCAATGGTAAGGAAAGCCACTGAAAGACTGGTATGAATCAGCATGGCAACCTGATTCTCATCCCAATAATCAACCAGAACAACTAGTGTAGCATCCCTACTACACTAAGGCCTACAACTCAAACTGATTGGGGTTAAGGAAACCTGAGTATGCTACATGACTGCAGCTGCCTCACTACAACATGCTCAGCAATGTTACAAAAAGAGAAGATTTGACTGAGGCAACAAGTGTTTGCAGAATTACTGATTCTATGTAGTGTTATAAGTTTTTCACTTCCATTGATACTAAACATTCAGCATATTTATCCAAACGTTTAACAATAAGTTAAAGACTAAAACAACAAACAGGAAAGTGATGTAAAATTGCCACATGATGGCACCATAAGCTACAAAATGCTAGACTTTGTGCCAAACTTACTCTGGAAAATGTTTTACCTCTATTCATCTTTTATAAAAGATATGTTCCTACAAAACAGTTCATCAAAGGAGCTAATGTAGAGTGACCAGACATCCAATATTATTGGGATCATCCTGATATTAGAGGCTCTGTCTTATATAGGCAACCATATCCTCTAGCTGCCCCCCTCTCCGCCCTAAAAAAGTGTCCCTATTTTTCACACTTGCTATCTGGTCACCCTAAGCTAATGATAGATATATCTGTTTGTAAGTATAAAAACACTTTACAAATACATTTGTATCCAAAAAGCCCAAATATGATTTGCAATTTAAAATTAAATTACATGCTAATTTTTTTTTGCTTTTGAACACATTTTTAGGCTCTGAACACAGACTAAACTTCACTCTGTAGTTGCAAAGGGGAATATGAAAAGTAATATCTTAATGCACTAGATTGATGTGTACATTGGTACTGCTGTTAGAAGTTCCTGACCATTTTCCCTGAAGTGATCAAAATCAGTAAAGAATGACCATACCTTTCAGAGTAAACATTCAAGTCATGCATAGGAACTTAGCTGCCCAGTTCCCACTGACATCAGTGAGTCTCAATACTATTGACTGGCTTACTTCATTAATTTTGAAGGTCATATTATCAAACAATCTCAGCATAGCATAACTGTTATTCTGTGACTCAGAATATCAAATGTAGCTACCATTGGAATACCCCTCACACACACTGTACAGACAGATGCCAGGAATTCCAGTTAACATATTCAGGAAACCCCTTTGATGTCTTTTTATGGAGGTAGTCTCAAAGGGCTTGTGAATGCTAGGCTCCAATGTATCAATATATTTAAAACATAGTATGGGGCAGATAATTAAGTACACAATACTATTAATGCTAAGTATACATTCCTTTTTATGTATAGAATAAAATATTCTATTTTAGCAATATTTAGGAACCTCATTCAAATCAATGGAATACTTAATTTCTATTTTCATCAGATCAGTGATGCTAAACTGATTTTAAAAGAAATAAAATGGTCAGGATGGCACAACTATATTTATATGGTTAGACATAAGCTATATGAACTTATTAGAGATCACAATAAAAAATAAAAAAACTACATTAAAAGAATGTGAAGGTTGCAAAGTCAGGCACTCAAAAATTAGATAATGCCAGAGCCAAGGTTGCTTGTGCAACTCCTTTGGTGCACAGGACAGACTGTGCTCTGGGTATGAAGGAGGACTTCACAGTGAATGAGGCTGTTGTCTGTAGGATCACACACCTTACAATTTATGCAACAAAGGAGGCGGAGGCCCTGATTCTTTCCCAGAGCACACTCCAAGGGATGATCTCTTGACTGAAGAAGCTGAATAGCATGCTAGAGAACTGGCTTCTATCTTTGCCTCAGCCACAGAGTTTCTATGTGATTCTCAGCAAGTCACATAAACCAGAAATTTCATAGGTAGCACTGTGTGTTTCATATTTTCTGGGTACCTAACATGAGACACCTAGGGGCTGATTTGCAGAAGTGCTAAGTATTCATAATTGCAACTGAAGTCAATGGTAACCCTGCTCTGAACGAAAAGTGCTATAAAATGCTCAGTATTCTGAACAAAAACAAAAAACAAAACAGGCATTAGGCTTCTCAAACTGGGCAATCAAAACTGACACCTTTGATGATTCTAAATTTAATCTCTGTGCCTCAATTCCCCATGTGTAAAATGGGGCTAACAATACCACCACTCACAAGGGTGTTGTCAGATGAAATTCAATAATATTTGTAAAGAACTAAGGTGCTACACAATAAGAGCACTACAGAAAAAACCCTCAGGAGGAAATTAGTAATTCTGTATTCACTGCAGGGCTTGCTTGGCACTAAATAACGCATGCAGGCATAAACTCAACGATGCGGATAAAAAATATTGAAGAGCTACCCATTCGGTGAGCACCATTTATCCTGAGCATTGAATGAAAAAATAGCTTGTGATCATGTAATTAAAGACTATACCATAATGTATATACACAAGGGGGTCTAATTAAGGTTGTACAGACATTTCCTAAATTGAGTGTTTGCCTTGCAACCTCAGAAATGTTCTTTAAATGCAGTGTGCGTGTGTGACATATATGTATGGTTTTATCAATTCCATCATATATGACGGATTCCACCATGTGGAACCATACTGCCCTGCACATGAGACATCAGTAGGGTTGGGCTCTTTAAATCCATATAGCACAGCCTTCTACCACTTGTGCTCAGAGATTAACTGGCAGCAAAAGCTGTTATATTCTATGTGGACCTGTCATTAGAGGGGGATGGACACACACTTTGCCAATGGTTTCCCAGCTATTTTCTCACATCAAAGGAATATTGAGACTCAGGACTCCTGGGTTCAGTTTCAGGATCTGTAGAGGAGTCTTTCTAGTGGTTACAGATCTTTCTGCTCCTGCACCTCCCCATCCTCTCCCTGTCCTCTTCTGCTCCTATGCTGCTCCCCAGCTCCTACCACTGCCCCCTCCCCTGCTATTATCCTACCAGATCCCATCAGTCCACTCCTGCCCCTATGCCCCTCTGCTCCTATTCCCCCATCACAGCATCTGCCTCTATCCCCTCACTATTCTCATTCCTTCTGCTCCTGCCTGTCTCCCTCCCCTCTGCTTGTTCCTACCCACCCGCTCCCATCTTCTGTATCCCTTTTCACCTATTCCCCCTCCCTTCCAGGCTCTTATCTCCTCTCCCCCTGCTCTTCTGCCCCTGCTCTTCTGCCCTGCATCTCTTCCTCTCCCCTCCATCCCAGTTCCTCACCTCTCAAGCGTTAAAATGAATCAGCTTCCTCCTTCTCCTTCTTCCTAACTGGGTCCCAGGAGAGGGAGCAGCGAGAGCATAGGAGACAGAGCCCCTCTGCTCTCAGTTCCAGTGCCTGGTGCCACAGCAGCCACCAGCAGTGGAGAGGATTAATTTCAGGGAAAGTCCTGCAGTCCCAGAGTGGAGCATGCTCAGTCATTCTGTGTGGATGGCACATGCACAATCTGGTCACGTGTAGAGCCATATGGGGATGGCCCATGCTCAGTGAAGACAATCTTCAGAGAATTTAGCTGTCAAACTCTACCGAATATTGACTGAGTATGTGCAAACTGTGACTTTTCAGAGCCTTATAACTTGGCCAAATTTGAGCAGTTTTTCATGGGGACAGCAAATGGCACATTCCTGATGCAAAGGCCAGCTCACAACCAAGTTCAATGACCCTCTCCAAACCATGGAGGTGCTAGACCTTCTCAATGCAACAGTTGTAAGATTTTTTCCCCAAAATGGGTGAAACAACATATTTTTTCCCAAACCTCATTCTTAGAAATATTCACCCTGAGGCAGACACATGGCATGGAAATTTTCAGCCTGAACAGTTTAAGTCTGGTAAAGTTGTAAACAACTAAAATCAGAGTCTTATAATAAAAAGTATCAAACAACACTAGCTACATGCATCACTACCTGTGCTGCTTTTAATATGTTGCATTTATATAAGTGAGCCCAGAGAACCTACTATCTACTACTCCTTATGGCTCAGATAAAGTAACCTCAACAGTGAGTCAGACCAGTAGTTGTCGCCTCTGTATATATTTAAAGGCATAAGTGATAGTTACTCTTTGCATACAGGTATATAAAATATATGGGATCTGAAATTATTTCTGTGATTACAGGTTTAGGAGAAACAATTTAAAAGGTGCTCAGAAATTCTCCTGCCTCTAAAATTCACAAACAAACAAAATACTCCCTCTCCCTATATGGCAGCACAGTCTGGACTATGGGAGTGAGAATTTTAGAGCATGTTAACATGCTGCACTCTAACTGCCCTGTGTAGACCCTGTTGGCATGAACTAAAAGGTATTTAGTTTGCATCGAAGGAGTCCCAGACTACATTTATAAGAACTATACAGGGCAGTTAGAACACAACATGTTAGTGTGATCTACAATTCACATCTCCATACACTGCAATGTGCTGCTGTGTAGACGAGCCCCATGAAACACTACAATATACTTTGTTAAATGGAGCACTATAAGCCTGATCCAGCACCCATTAAGGTTCCCATTGACTTCTATGTAAATTGGATCAGGTGCTTAAACCCCAATCCTGCAAACACTTAAGCAGGTGTGAAACTTTACTCACGCAAGTAATTCCATTGAGTTTGCTACTCATATGTGTAAAGTGGCACACACAGCTCAAGTGTTTGCAGAACTGAGGGCTTATTCGGAATTCGGAGACAAGGTTTATTTTTAGCAACTTTTAAAAAATAAAAGTTCTTTGTGTACTAGTAATTCACACTACAGAAGAGGATCAGTAATATATACTCTACTTGAATGTCAAAATTATACAGCAGCCATCCTGTTGTAAAAATGCTATAGATTTTAATAATAATTAAATTAACAGGATTCCAGAGAAATGACTCTAAAAACCTACAGAATTCAAGATTATGCTATCCCTTCTAAATGTTTTTTGAATTATTCTATAGATTTCTATTGAAGGAATATAATGATCTTTGAAATTCCAAGGATAATTAAAAAAAAATCTATAGGAAGGTTGTAATTTTCTATTAAATTCTACAGAACTTTGCTATAAAATTTATATTGTAAAATAAAATTTAAAAAAAACCTGCAAGGATTTTATATTTATAATGAAACAAACAATTGTGCAATGTTATTTTTAAAGAGAAACATTTTGAACCAACCACTTGAAAAGGATATGAATGTACCAAAATTTTAATAGCTATTTTTCGAAGAGGATTGAAAGGAGTTAAAATGTACAGGGCAGAGGTGGCACTGAATCGGAAGATTGCCTTCCCTCTATTCAATACTATAAAAGTCTGAAAAAAGAAAGAAAGAGCAGTTTAAATGCTTGCATTCTGCATTAACGTTTTAAAATCAAAAATCTTTTTTTAAAGAATAAACAAAGTCTTACATTACATTTCTATAGATAATTCAGAGAAAATCATATTTCTACATCCTTATTCAGAAAGAAAACGTATTCCCATGACTTACCTGCTATATAGGATAACATCTGCTGTAAGGATACCACATTTGGTCTTAAAAAAATAGGGGTTTTATTAAATACACATTTACACACTTTTCTCTGTCACCTGTATATAAAGTAAGGTGCACAAGTGGTGAATTAAAAAATTACTGAATATTTTATAGCCTGATTATAACTAAATGTTTACTTTTTCCCTAAATACCAGAATCCTTCTCTCTTCATTGCCTTACCACAGCGCACGCACATACCAAATCATGGGCCAGATAATAGGAGGGGACTTTTTTTACTTGAAAATCTCTGCAAAGGATCCATCATTGACATTAACACCAATTGTTTGACTCAAGGGGAGAAGTGGTGGTTGTTATCTGTGGAAAGCTGCCCCAAACCTAGAAAATCCCCTGCTGTGGCTCTGGCCCCTGGCAATACACCCCACCCTACTCTGGTTCCTGAGTGGTGCCCTCTATTGGAGCTGCACCCATCCTGCCTGCTTCTCTAGGCCCACCCCTATTCCATGTCTCCCACTCTATGTGGGCCCAAAACCATACGTGTCTGGGAAAGGTGTGTACCACAGAGGCATCTGATCCCCACTTCTGCATGGAGAAAAGGAGACTGTGTGTGGAGAACCCCTTCAGATATGGAGCTAAGGACAATGGGGAACAATCTGGGCTGTGTTTTCACCTTACAGTTCCAGTAATAGATTTCAGATATTGATGGTCTTCAAACAGCAGCAACAGATGGTATAGGCATGGATGAAAATTTTTAAAATAATGAAGTAGCCAAAGAGGAACACATTTATTTGGCACAAAGTTTTAAAGCCTGAGTTAAGAGATTACCTGAAACATTTATAATCCATAAATACATTGAGGGGTGGTTTCTAATGTCTTTGCTAAACAGCAAAAAAGCATTTACTATGGACTCACAACCTCCAGATTGTCATGTATCCAAATGATGTCCCTGTGTGCTAGATTCTGTATTTGTAGTTATGAGCTAGCTGACATATACATAAATATATATTTAAATCACACACTCTGCTGACTTTGCATGTAAGGAGAATACACCACCTGCATTTAGTTAACTCATCCTTTTTTGAATCTTTCTGAATCTTTGAACACAGGCATGTTACTGATACTGTTAAAAATAACACTATCTTGCCAAAGCTACAGTTTTGAGTGGAAGCTGCTGATATTCCTCAAGTGTATGTATTGTTCCACTTTTTGAAGACATGCATATGCAGCTCCAAGATCAGAATCAAGGCCCCATCATTTCAAAAAATGTCCATTTTCTCCCTTCAATCATCACTCATTTATTTCCTCAGTGAAAGAAACATTGTGATTTACCATTAAAGTCCTCAAAATAGGTATATTGATCCTGTGACTTATAAGCCAAGACAAAAATTTGATTTCTGTCGCTCTCTTCTTGTCCCTCTGCTGCAGCAGGAGACCCACCTCTCAGCCTCCAATGAGACACCTCCCTAGACATCCTGACAGCTGCTGGAAAAGCCACCTCAACACTCTGAGTTGAAGGCTGCCTTTGTCACTAAGATGCAGTGACAACATTGTGCGGATTGCTCTCCGCTTCTGGCCTCAGTTTCGGCTGAAAACACCACCCCACTGCTGCTTCCCAGCCTAAGATGGGATTTCTAGTAAGAGAGAAGTGAGATGAGACTACATTTCCCAAGAACTCGGACATAACCACTCTTCCCCCTCTTCTTTGCCATAGCAATTAGGCTATAAGCCAGAAAACTAGCCACTCCTTACGGTGTAAAACCATTAGGGCCAAATTTTGTTGTTTCTACACAGGCCTACATTGGGGGCCGTGTGGAGCCTCACAACCCCATGAGGATCATCAGCAGGTTGCACTGTGCACCTTAAGGTAGTGCAGGGTGCTCTTTTCTCCAGGTCTAGTGGAGAGGCCTGAGCTCTTTTCCTTGCTGAGTTTGGTTTGCACACTTGAGCACGAATAGGGAGTCACTTCTGTACCCAGAGTGCAGAGACTGATTTTCTCTTACACAGAAATGCACTACATTCACATGGAAAGGATCTTTAAGCCCTCATTTTTACCCATCTGCACAAGAGCCAAGGACAATATAGCCCTTTAAAATTAGCCACAAAGGTTAATGAATACTGCTACCTGAACATGGACAACAGATATGGGTATTCACCTATGTACTCTATTCTACTTTGATGTGAGTTTCTTTTGCAGGTGTATGACTGCTGGAAATTAAGCTATCTGCAATAAAAATGTAATTTATTATACAATCAGATGTGTGTTTATGACTAGCCACTCTAAGGTCAAATAGAGGCTGTCAAATTTGTGTCTTTAGAGTCCAATTTCAGATTATCCAATATTAAAATGTTGTCTTTTGTGGTACATTTTGAATAAAAGATCATTTAGAAAGACTAAAAAACCATCAGACCCAACATGCCTGCCCATTTTGTTTATCTTGATCCAATTTTTCTGTTTTTTTCACTATTTTCCTAAACCCTTGCTTTCTCTATATATTAATGGACTTACCTGAGCGATGAATTTGTCTCCAGATCAATTTGCACATTTAAATTTAATATAAATTTTAGTTGTGACTATATTCCTGTATTATTCCGTGCTAAATTATGAATAGCTCAAATGCTATCCTTTGCAAAACTGTTTTTTTAAATAAAATTTTAAAACACTGCAGAGGAAACTTTGAAACACTGTGGAATATGTTCTGAACTACGATAAAGGCAAGAATATAATGCAACCAAGTATGGGCAGCATGGTGTTAGAAGGGTAATGACAGTGGGGAAAAAGTGGGGAAAATATTACCCAGTGAGACAGAGATGGAGAAGGTAATAGGAACCTTGAGACAAAGGAGGATTGGTGGAGGTTGGGGGTGCCGGAGCAATGGGGGAACAGGCAAATGCATGAGAAGGATACAAAGAACACTGTGTGAGGGACAGCTGATGGCAGGGAACTGGACTAGTTGGATATACTAACAGGAGCCAAGCTCTGGTGTGAGAAAGTATATCTGTGTCAGCCAGACCAGGAAGGAGATGAGTGCTGGACAGTAAGGATAGATAGATAAGAGAGACAAGTTTCGGGGGAAGAAGCTGCAGAGACAGTCAGGAAAGAGCTATTCTTTAATATGGGTCAATATAAACGTATGTGTGTGGCACAATGAGAGCACTGCAAAACTTTTACATCAGGGCAATCATGGACAAGCTAATAGGATGAAACTAATAAGAGCACTACATTCAGCACTAAGGCAGCCATTCCACCTTTAATTCACCTAATTTTGTCTTGCTATTGAAGACATCTCAGAACATTGTGTATAAGTGGCAATACTTAGGGACAATTGTGCGTGTTGATGACAGAGTAGTTGAGTGATGGGGTAGACAAACCCCACACTGGGCTGGAAGGGGTTAAAGGACACTCCTGGGCCCAGGTACTCCACCCCTGCAGAACATGCTCCAGCTGGAGAAGGGGTTGAAAAGGGAGCAACCCAGCTCGGAAGGGGGCGGAGGACAGACCTACACCCTGAAGGCTCCTGACAAGGGCACCAGAGAAGCCTCCCTGAGGGAATAAGACTATATGCTGAGCCCAGTTGGAGCTGATGATTTGGTTAGCTTTTCTTTTCACCTTATCTGAGACTGAAAGCGGGGAGAGCAAAGCAGTGGTAGGAAGTGACCCAAGGAGGGTAACTCAGGGGGTACCTTAGAGGGCCAGACACTATTGACCCTCCTAGGGTTCTGGGTCAGAGCCAAGTGGCATGGGTGAGCCTGGGCTCCGCTACCACTATAGTAGGGACTCAAACCACCCGTTCAACTCACTGCACCTCTGATTAAAGGAGGACCAGGACTGTAAGATCAGCTCTCTGGGAGGAATACTAGGGGTGCTAACAACTAGGCAACCTAACCCACCAAGAACTCTATTAAGGTCGTCTTAACTCTTTCTTGCCTGTTTTGTCAGTTTATATCAGACTGTGATATTATGTCAACCCTCAAAACAATGTTTTCTGCTAAGTTTAAAATGCTGTTCCAACTTGCAGAATGCCTCTGTAAGTAGGAAAAATTATCTGTGCTTAGCTGAAAATTTCCTTTCTTTGTGAAGTGAAGTTCATAGGTCTGCTATAATGGGCACATCCATCTGCTTGCAGTTTGGGGGCAGAATTAAATCAGCGGCTGGCAGCAGGGGAATCCCCCGCTCCTTGAAGCGCCTTATAACTGAAATAACTCCCACAGCCAGGATAATTTAAATCTACTTTCCTAATTACAGATTGTGTTAAATATATTTTGAGGAAAAAGCACAATAATGTCTCCTACTTCAGTGTGTGGTAAATTCCATCTAATGACAACAAACCTCAACAATTTCCATCTCTCTTCTGGATGATGCATTTGTTTCCTGGGTGGGCCACATCGATAGACCTTATTATTCTAAGAAGGGAAATTTTCAGGTAAGGATGAATAAATTCTCCCATTTTTCTTCGTGCTAAGGTCCAGAGATTTGCTACAATGGAATTTTCATACCAGTATGCCTCCACAGCAGGAAGCAGGATCAGCCTGTAAATGCGGACAACCAACACAAGGTACACTATATATAAATATCACTTCCATCTTCCCAAACTTCTGCCAAAAGAAAGGAAAGAGTATTGGCTAAGCCTGGATGAACAAGATGCAGAATTCTGTGAATTTATATATTGATGGCCATGTGGTGTCTAACAAATTTTAATATAGGATACCAGACTACTTTGCCCTGAGATTCTCTGTGCTTCTAAGGACTGGACTTTGATGCTTAACCAAAGGAGGAATATTTCCTGAATATATTTGGAGAACGACTGCTATGAGAGTTGTAAGAACT